AGTCCTGGTGGGCCAGACCCCAGCAGCAAGCTAATCTACTGGTCAAAGTGTCTGCCCCCTGGTGGTCATAGTGACTGGTTGACCAAATGGTTGGACACTTAACACATTAGGCTTTTATTATATAGGATTCTCCTATTTTCTGGTTCCTTGGACTACTCTCTTCTATACCTTCAATTGATTTCTCTTTTCAAGTTGTATTAATTTCTTATTGGTGCTGTAATAAATGACCACAAATTTATGGTCTCCAACAGTACCTATTTATTACTAGAGGCTCGGTACATGAAATACAGATAGGATCCCTAATCCTGGTTGGTGATCAGAGCTGATCTGTGGGGTGACCTGCATGGTGGTCAGGGAGCCCTCATGGCACATGCCTTTACCTACCTGGTGCTGCCCAATTGCCAGCCCTGTCTCCCACTGCTGCCGCCGGTAGCATCCCATTTCAGGGCAACCAGGGGGGTAATCAGGGGCCCCCTGCTCCCACCCACCTTGGCTAGCCTGGGGCCTGCAGGCATGGGGCAGCTCCTGCAGTGAGCTTCTGCCCTCTGGTGGTCAGTGTGTGTCATAGCGACCAGTAGTTCCCACTGGTCATTCTGCTGGTCGTTCATTTTGCATATTAAGCTTTTATTGTATAGAATGTTACTAGAGGCACAGTGCATGAATTTGTGCATGGGTGGGGTCCCTCAGCCTGGCCGGTGATGAAGGCCTATCAGGAGGCTGGCCGGCCGGCCGGGGGGGTGCAGTGATGGGGAGAGACCCCAAGAGGTTGACTGTGGGAGCACACTGACCACCAGGGAGCAGCTCCGGTGTTGAGCGATTGCCCTCTGGTGGTCAGTGTGTAGCTAGGCTCTAGAGATTGGAAGTCTGAAGTGGATTTCACTGGGCTAAAATCAAGGACTGATCCCCCTGGAGATGCAGGGAAGAATTCACTTAGTCACCTTTTCCAGTTTATAGAGATTGTTTGCGTTCCTTGGCTTGTAGCCCACTTTTGTCTTCAAAGCCAGCAATGGCAGGCTGTCCTCACGTGGCATCCTTGATTCCATTGTCCCAACTTTTTCTCTGACTCGGACTTTCCTGTTTCCCTCTTTCATTTATAAGGACCTTTATGATTAAATTAGGCACACCTGGATAATCCAGTCTCTTTTCATCTCAAGATGCTTAAATTAATCTACAAAGTCCCTTTGTGTAACATCCATAGCTTCTGGGAATTAGGGCATAAACCTCTTTGGACAGCCATTATTCTTATTACCCCCCCCCCAAAAAAAAAATCTCCCCCCTTGAGATATGGCTTGTGAGAACCATCCTAAACAAAATACCTCTCTCTTCTTTTACCCAGATTTTTGAGATATAATTGACAAATAAAAAAATATTTCTCTCTTAAAGGTACACTGTCACCCTAGCCGGTTTGACTTAGTGGATAAAGCATCAGTCTGTGGACTGAAGGGTCTCAGGTTTGATTCCGGTCAAGGGCATATGCCAGGTTGTGGGCTCGATCCCCAGTAGGGGTGTGCAAGAGGCAGCCGGTCATTGATTATTTTTCATCATTGATGTCTCTCTCTCTCTCTCTCTCTCTCTCTCTCTCTCTCTCTCTTCCTCTCTCAAATCAATAAGAATATATATATTTTAAAAAAAGGTACACTGTCCTCTTTTCCTCCCTTTTCAACAAGCTATTTTCAAGAGTTGTATTGCTAGTTTTCTCCACCTCCTGACAACCTGCTATCTGTGTCTGCCCCCATACTCCACTAGACCGACTTGCCCTCATCACCATTGGCTTCTATATTGCCAAATTAATGAACACCTTTTATTCTTTTTAAAAAAATATATTTTATTGATTTTTGTACAGAGAGGAAGGGAGAGAGATAGAGAGCCAGAAACATTGATGAGAGAGAGTCATCGATCAGCTGCCTACTGGGGATATGCCCGCAACCAAGGTACATGCCCTTGACCGGAATTGAACCCGGGACCCTTCAGTCCCCAAGCTGACGCTCTATCCATTGAGCCAAACCGGTCCCGGTGAACATCTTTTATTCTTAACCGGCTGCATTTTCCATGTTGGTTGCTCACTCCTTCTTGAGACCCATCTGTCCCCTATCTGACTTTAAGTGTCTTTGTCCTGATTTTCTTCCTTGTTCTTTCTGGCTTAGGCACCTTAGGTGGTACACTCTCTCCACCTACCCATGAAATGTCCTTGTTCCCTGGGGTTTTGGATCTTTGCTCCATTGCTCTTCCCTTGGGTGATCTTGTACCACACTTCTGGCTGAAAATGCCACTTGCACAAGGATGATTGACCCCTGCCTGTGCTGTGAAAATCTCTAGCTGGAAGTGTTGATGAAGTTTGTGTTTCTAGTAATCCCATAAACTCCTCAACTTTGTTGGTCTTTCTTGAAGTAGACCCAATGAGAGAGCTCCTTGAGGTGAGTGCTGACTTGAGAACCACGAAGCCTGGGGTGCTTAGGCTTTTGTTCCAGACTGTGTGGTCCGCCGAAACCGGTTTGGCTCAGTGGATAGAGCGTTGGTCTGTGGTCTGAAAGGTCCTAGGTTCGATTCTGGTCAAGGGCATGTACCTTGATTGCAGGCACATCCCCAGTAGGGGATGTGCAGGAGGCAGCTGATCGATGCTTCTCTCTTATTGACGTTTCTAACTCTATCCCTCTTTGTAAAAAATCAATAAACAATCAATAAAAGAACAACCATTTTATAAAAAAAAGAAAAAGAAAAAGAAAAGAAAAGAATGTGTGATCTTTTCAGGACGACCTGAGAGGACAGGTGAGAGGCAGCAAACCCAGTGGTGCCAAAGGACAGACCCATGTTTCATGGGAGTAACAGGGAAGCAAGCAGGGAAGGCATGTCTTCCATACTGTGTTTATGAGGGCAAACCCCACCTTTATCTGTGTGGTTTGCAACTGCTGGAGCTCTGAAGGAGCTCAAAGGCACAGAAATAGTCAAAGGGAGCCAAAGTGCATCCTAACAGTTCAGTTAGCTAAGACTCTCACCAGAAACAGAGAACTATGGGGATGCTTCCAAATGCAAGAAGATTGATGAGGAAGGTACGGTACAGAGGATGGGCTTGGAGGAGTCTGGAGTTTCACAGAGGAAGAGGAGACTTGGGCAGAGAACGGAAAGGGAGCAAGGAGGAGGAAGCCATTTTAGGCAGGGAAATAGCATGGGCAAAGGCTTAGAGTCATGGCCAGTATAACCTACTTGGGGAACAAGGAGAATGCAGGGGAGATGAGGTTGGAGAGAACTGCATCCAGAGGAAGATGCTAACATAGGAAGCTTGAACTATATCTGGTTGGCATGAAGAGCTATGGAAAATGAATTGAACCGAGGTCAATTTTAGGAAGACTACTCCAGTCCTGGGTGGATTGATGAGGGGAGTGTTGAGTACCAGATCTTAAAATATGCAAGATGTAATCTTAGAGAGAAGAGGAATCTTGGCAATTACTGGTCCATTCCTATCATTTTATATAGTGTGTGTATATTTATATATCATATATAATCATGCTTTATGTATGCACACATGTATATATTAAATGGCCTCACTAGAGGGTGAGTGACTTCCCAAAGGTACATAGCAACAAGACCAGCGTTAGTACTCAGGTCAGACTCCTCGTGCAGTGCTCTTCCGTGCCCTACTCAGTAGAGGCAGAGATGTATGAAAGGAGGCTGATCAACAGTCAAGGCAGAGAGTGATGTCAGTCTTGACCAGGGCAGACACCAAGGTGAAGACCATGTGCGAGGCAAAGTGATATATTCTCTTTCTCTTTCTCTCTGGGTGGGGGGTTGGGACATAGGGCTTGTTGGAGACCGCACATGAGCGCATCTCTTTTTCCTGGGTCCTGCAGCATCCTTCTGGGCCTGGTTTCTATGGCAACAGCTTCCAGCAGGCAGCCTGCCAGCTGGAGGGAAGCAGGCAGGCAAGGCAGGCAGGGAGAGAAGGCCTGGGCAGCAAGAGGAAGGCTGAAGTTGTGGGGGTTGGGGAAACCTCCTGGGAAGCTGGAGGGGCCCCCAGAGCTGGTCCCCAGCCCCTCTTTCCTGATAATATGCGTAGAGTTTGCTTAGGACACACGTGCCTTTCTTTTGGGATCCTTGAAATTCCAGACCTCAAACTTCTGTTCACCTCTCCTCCCACCCCTACATCTCCTGACTCCCACCTCAAGTATTGTCTGACCGTGCACTTCAGGGGCCACTGATTTCTTCCTAGAACCCTGAGGGGAAAAAGAACAAGGCCAACCGTCTTTCTGTTTTGCATATGATTTGCTTATCATTAACTCAAAGAAGAAATTTCCAGGCCTCGTGCCATTCCTGCCAACAACTTAATTCAACTCCGTTGGCACCGGCTGACTGCGTCTGGCCAGGCTCTGAGCTGAGCCACGGGGTCCCTAGAGGAGGAGAAGTCCTCCCAGCTGCTTCCACCTCCCCTCTCCCCAGCTGCTCCACGGCAGTTCTTCCTGATGCTCCGGCAGCTGGTGCGTTGGGAAGTCCTTGAGCTGTGGAGCAAGCAGCAGCCCTCAGTCCAAATGCTGGCTCTGCTTCTGGAGAGCTGGGGACCCGCGGGCCTCTCTGGGCCTTAATTTATTCATCTCTGCGGGGCTGAGGACCTACCTGCACAGCTGGTGCAAATAAGCAGACGCAGCATTTGGGAAAGTGCTGAGACACCTCTGTACTCATCGGCAAATACCCTAGCTCCTCCCTGGCCCTTCTGGTACCCCACCCCCAACCCAGCTTCTGCAGGGAGATGCTCTAGCGCTTGGGCTGTGTCTGTTTGCATTGGTCTATGCCAGCAGCTGTCCTGTACAGATTAACTGTTGTAAGACTCACCCTGTGCAGACGCGATGCAACAGGTAGGTATATGATGTACCCCCCTGTTACAAGGACTCATATAGTTAAGGTCACGCAGGTTTCCTTTCTCATCCCTTTTCCTTTTAGCCTGGGGTGGGGGGGTGAAGGCTGGGGTGATACTCAGTAAGGGCAGAGATAACAGCCGTCTCTCTCACCAGGCGGGCGAGGTTCAAGCGCTCCAACAGCGTGACGGCCGGCGTGCAGGCGGACCTGGAGCTGGAGGGCCTGGCCGGCCTGGCCTCGGTGGCCACAGAGGACAAGGCCCTGCAGTTCGGACGCTCCTTCCAGAGGCACGCCTCTGAACCCCAGCCTGGCCCCCGGACCCCCACCTACTCAGTCTTCCGCACGGTCCACACGCAGGGCCAGTGGGCCTACCGCGAGGGCTACCCACTGCCGTACGAGCCGCCGGCCACCGATGGGTCCCCGGGCCCTGCCCCTGCCCCCGCCCCGGGCCCTGGGGCAGGCCGCCGGGACTCGTGGATGGAGCGGGGCTCCCGTAGCCTCCCCGACTCAGGCCGCACGTCCCCCTGCCCGCGGGACGGCGAGTGGTTCATCAAGATGCTGAGGGCGGAGGTGGAGAAGCTGGAGCACTGGTGCCAGCAGATGGAACGCGAGGCGGAGGACTACGAGCTGCCCGAGGAGAGTGAGTGAGAGCCCTCTGCGTGGAGGGATCCGGCTGGACGTGAGGGGGCCGTCCTCAGGGTTTGGCCCTCTAGCACCACACCTTGGTGGGTCCCCATGGGCAGCGGGGCTATCTGGAGCTCCTGGCAGGAAGCAGGGAGCAGCTTCAGAGGCCAGGGCTGGGCCTGGGGACAGGGACCAGGCTGAGCCTCCAGGACAGGGGTCGGCAAACACATTAGTCAACAGAGCCAAAGATCAACAGTGCCACGATCGAAATGTCTTTTGAGAGCCAAATTTTTAAAACTTAAACTTCTTCTAACGCCACTTCTTCAAAATAGACGCGCCCAGGTATTTTTGTGGAAGAGACACACTCAAGGAGCTAAAGAGCCGCATGTGGCTCGAGAGCCGCAGTTTGCCAACCACTGCCCTAGGCGATAGCTGCCAGCCCATGGCAGCCAAGGGAATTGTTCCCATCTGTGCCGGTGTCGGGGGCCTGGGCCTGCTTCCGAGAACTTCAGACAGGGGTAGGCCGTGCACAATGTCAGGGCGTGTCTCACGCACCGGTGAAGATTAAGCCAGGAAGACATGCCCTTCCTGCAAGCTCAGTCCGAGGGGAGATACAGTCTTACCCCAGAACCCCAAGGATGGGATAGAGACCCGTGAGTCAGGGGTCATACATGAAATCTAGTAATTCTTAAGGAGTCATGGAGCGAGTGCCTGCTTGCCATAGGGCTGTCGGGCTCGGCTGGGACTGGTGTTCTCAGTTCTCTGAGCCGGGAGGATAAGCACGTAGGAAATGCAGGTTGTATGAAGGAAGAAATGTCCCTGTGAAGTAGGATAGGAGCTGCGTGTTAGGAAACCCGAGGACAGGATGGGGAGGGGCGGGAGGAGGAACACCTGGAAAATGTCAGGTAATGGAGGGGCAAGAGTCAGTCAGGGCAGACTTCCTGGAGGTGGGGGGAGGAAAGTCACCATCCCCCTCCTTGAATCTGCTTCTGCTCCCCAGTCCTGGAGAAGATCCGCAGTGCTGTGGGCAGCACGCAGCTTCTCCTGTCCCAGAAGGTTCAGCAGTTCTTCAGGCTGTGTCAGCAGAGCATGGTGAGTGCCCTGGGTGCAGCCCATCAGACGGGTGCGCCTGGAAGGTGCCGTGTGTGTGTGTGTGTGTGTGTGTGTGTGTGTGTGTGCGCGCGCGCGCCTGGAGGTGGGGCCAGGTGTTTGTACCCAAGAGTGAGAAGCCTGGGCTTTCTCCTCCTGTCCCCCTAACCCCCACCCCCAACATGCCTCCCTGTCTCCAACTCCTCCCACCTCACCCCACCCCACTCTCCCAAGTTAAGTGTCCTGACAGGGAGGGTGGGTGGGGGTTTCCCGGGCCCTGGCTGGGGCTCAGACATTCCTGACTGGCTGTCTCTCCCATGTCTCCTTCCCCTGCAGGACCCCACTGCGTTCCCTGTGCCCACCTTCCAGGACCTGGCGGGTTTCTGGGACCTCCTGCAGCTCTCTATCGAGGATGTGACCCTCAAGTTCCTGGAGCTACAGCAACTCAAGGCCAACAGCTGGAAACTCCTGGAGCTTAAGGTGGGTGAGGGCCCTTAAAGCCAAGAGTCAGGCCCTGGAACTTGCCCTTCCCCATGGAGGCGTGTGGGGGGTGGCAGGTACGGGGACAGGAAGAGACTCGTGGACAGTAAAGGCAGCGCTGGACGGGTGATGGTGACCACCTTCCAAAGGGACCACCCTCGGGCCCTGCTGTCTGCTTGGCTGTAGTGCTCATCGCTGCCTAAGCTGCCAGAACCCGAGGTGGCAGCAGCCACCGTGGGCCAGCTGCAGTTTCCCTCATCTCACTAGACCTTGTCTAGTGATGGGCTCCGGAACCTGGGGTGAACCCCCATGGCCTTGTCCGGCCCTCCGGACCGGGAGTGAAGCAAACACTGATTCGGCACGGCACCACCAAGGGGCCAAATCAATATATATATATTTCTAATTACTTTATTGACTAAGTTATCACATATTTGTCATCATCACCCCCCTCCCCCCAATTCCCATCCCAAACCCCTCCCCACGCATGCCCTCACCACCCTGTTGTCCATGACCACTGGTTGGGCTCCTATGCACGCACACAAGACCTTTGGTTGATCTCTCTCCCTTATCCCCACCCTCCCCTGCCTTCCCTCTGAGGTCCCACAATCTGATCAATGCTGTTCTTGTTCATCATTTCCCCTAGATGAGTGCGCTCCCGTGATACTAGAAATACACACTTTTTTTTTTTTTTAAAGAAGAATGCAGGTTTTGACCTATGGGAACAGGTGCACCTGGGGCTTGGGGTGCAGAGCAGCTTCTAACCGCTCTCCGGTGGGTGGCCGGGCGGAGCCGGGAGCCTGGGGAGGTTCATCCTCCGGCGGGGACCCCCCCAAACTCGGCGGCCCCTCTCCGCAGGAGGAGAAGAAGGTCCCTCCGCCGATACCAAAGAAGCCGCCGCGGGGCCGGGGCGTGCCGGTGAAGGAGCGCTCGCTGGACTCGGTGGACCGGCAGCGGCAGGAAGCGCGCAAGCGGCTCCTGGCGGCCAAGCGCGCCGCCTCCTTCCGCCACAGCTCGGCCACCGAGAGCGCCGACAGCATCGAGATCTACATCCCCGAGGCCCAGACCCGGCTGTGACCGGCCGCCCGGGGCCGCGGGCTCCCCGTACTGTACACCCAGCGTCGAGGTCACTGTGATCGGGCCGCCGTGCGCCCGCCCGCCCGCCGGTCCGCACGCCCGGCCCGCCCGCCGCGCGCTCTCTCTCGGGGGTTTTCTACTTCCCGACCCCGCGCCGAGGCGCCGGGCTGGGCCGGACCGTGCCTCTCCGCCCTGCGCCCCCCCGGGCCCCCCTTTCTCTCGGTCCGACGCTTCGCCCCACCTCCTCCTCCCACCACGGGCACCATCTCTGCCATCCTTCCCTCCTCTCCTGCTCCCCTCCCCCCCCCCCCCCCCCACGGGCCAGGCCGGGCCAGGTCCCCCATCCGGGCTCTGCGTCCCCCCCACCCCGCGGGGCTGGGCTTCGTGGGGATCAGCTTCGTGGCTTTTTATGAAGAACCCCGAACCCCGCCTAGGAGCCCGCCCCGCCCTCCCAGGACCTCTCCTTCCGCCCGCCGCCCGCCGCCCGCCGGGCCGGGGACCGCAGTGGCTGGACCAACCCAGGACCAGGGCGCCTGGGCCTCTCCCCGTTCCCAGCTGCTGGGGAGGGGAGATGGGGGCTCCCCCCGTCCCTCACCACACCTGTGGCTGTTCCCACACCCCCTTGAGTATCCCAGGAAAAATAAAACGGCAGAACTGCACTCCCGCCCTCTGCTCTGTCCTGAAGAAGCCACCTCTGCACTGCGCCTGGGAGTGGGGGACGGGGGTGGAGGGAGGAGGGGCGGGGAGCCGAGCAAAGGTTGCCTGAGCCGGCTGGGGGAAAGGCCCGGCCCTCCTGGAGGGGCCCCCAGGGTGAGGGTGGGGGTGAGTAGAGGAGGACTTCCACCTTCACATGCCTTTCCCTTTCTGCCTCCCAGTCCTCCAGGGCCCCCCAGGGAAGGCAGCCCAGAGCCTAGTGCCTTGGCGCACAGCATGTGCTCAGTAAACGGAGTGTGGTGGTGACTCTTCCATATGGACCAGTACCGGTTTCCCCTTCCCCTGAGGGCCCGCTGTGCCCTCTGCCTCAGTCATTCCAGCCCAGCAGCAGAGCACTCTGTTCCATTGAGTGCTGCCATGTTTTCTGATGCCCTGTATGGGTGGGCACTTCGGTGAGGGCAGAGAACAGAACTTTCCTTGGAAGCGAAAGAGCAATCCAAACCTAGTGTGGATGGCTAATATGTATTGAATACTTACTGTGGGCCAGGCAAATGTGGCCCATCCTTATGACAGATGAGAGAGTGGAAGCTCAGGAGAGGTTAAGTGACCTGTCTAAAGTCATGGGGCTGAGGGTGGTGGACCTAGGTCTGGCTAATTATGAGCTTTTATTTATTTTTATTTTATTGGTTTTTTTACAGAGAGGAAGAAAGAGGGATAGAGAGTTAGAAACATCAATGAGAGAGAATCATCGATCAGCTGCCTCTTGCACACCCCCTATTGGGGATATGCCCACAACCAAGGTACATGCTCTTGACCAAAATCGAACCTGGGACCCTTTAGTCATCAGGCCGACACTCTATCCACTGAGCCAAACCGGTTTCGGTTAATCATGAGCTTTTAGTTAGCCCAGAAAAGGTATGATGGGCCTGTCCACCCAGAAAGCCACCTTCTCAGTCCGTAAGTAGTCCTTGGAGTTGATGTGTCACCCTGAAGCAGGAGGAAAAGGTTCCCAGGGGGGTTGGAAGTTCTTCTGGGCCACCCTGGAGTAACCAATTCTCATTCATTCATTCATTCACTCACTCAGCAAACGTTCATCAGGAATCACCATTGGGCCCTAACCTGTTTGGCTCAGTAGAGAGAACGTTGACCTGTGAACTGAAAGGTCCTGAGTTCGATTCTGGTCAAGGGCACATGCCTGGGTTGTAGGCTTGATCCCTAGTAGAGGGTGTGCAAGAGGCAATCGATCAATGATCCTCGCTCATTGATGTTTCTCTCCCTCTCCCTTCCTCTCTGAAAAAAATTTTTTTTTTTTTTTTTAAATCACTGTTGGCAGCCAACACCAAGGAGTCAGCCTCGAACAAGTGTAGTTTCTATGCTTATGGAGCTTACAGTCTTATGGGAAAAACAGTGAACAAGCAGATAAAATAGAAGGGTGAGTGGTGGAAAGATGATGAGATATTAGCCACTGAAGGGGGTTGAGGCTGGGAAGAATGTTCCAAGATCAGACAACATCTATGCAAGGATCCAGAGAAGAAAGGGGCATTGGGAGTGCCAAAGCTTGATCATACTGGGCAACTTGAGTAGGGTAGGCATAGATTCTGAGGGCTGTGGGGAGCCATGGGAAGGTTTTGAATAGAAGAGGGGCATCAATAGACATTTTACAGGCTGGTCTGGGAGACCATCTGAAAGCAAGAGATTGTACACACACACACACACACACACACACTCATATGAGTCTTCTGGGCAGTGGAGAGGGCCCCCATGTGATCCGAATTTCCAAAAGTGAATCAACTTCAGGCTGATTTCAAACAGAGTCCTGGGCCCTGTCCAAAACTTAGTGAATAGACTCTCTACCTTCAAAGAACTTTTTCACAAAAGCTCCAGGTGATTATGATGGGCAACTAGGTCCGGGAACACTTAAATTAGATGACTGTCCAAAAGATTCCACCAGAAAACCTCATCGGTCTCTTTCCTGTAGACTAGCCAAATAAGGCTTTGGCTGAGTCACTACCTCTCTGATATTGTTTCTCATCTCTGAGAGTGGGTCATCGGTGAGGTTTGGGCTAGACAGCACTCAGAGCAATCCTGTGAAGCAGATATTGTCATCACCATCATCTTACAGTGAGAAAACTGAGGCGTATCAACTTATCCCAAAGCACAAAGCTGGGAAGTGGCCGAGTCTGAGTTTAACCATCCACATTAAATAGTTGTGTGTGTGTGTGTTTTAATTTATTTTTTAATTTTTTTATGGGTCTATATCTTTTCCCAGAAACTGGGCCAGCTTTTCCGGGATGATGAAATATATGGGAGTGGACAGGGAGAAGCAGGTCAGCATCTGCAACTGTGTGGGCATCCTTCTACTGACATGATGTCCAAAACCTCCCCAAATGGGGCTGATGGTGGGGGGAGGGGAGTCTCCTTTGGGTATTGTGGCCTGGGTAGTTGTGCTGGATAAGTGAAGGACTAGATCCCCTCCCTGTTCTTGAGTTGCTCCTAGTCCTGGCCATAACCAGGCACATAAACATAAAGGGATAGTATAAACAGAGGCTTAGTCTCCCAGGGGGCTAAAGAGACTAGTGGAGGGAGCCTCTAGTAGCCAGGGAGTCTGGAAAAACTTTAAAAAAACTTTAAAAATTGATTTTAGAGAGAGAGGAAGAGAGAGGGAGAGGGGAGGGGAAGTAAAGGAGGGAGGGAGGGAGGGAGGGAGGGAGGGAGGGAGGGAGGGAGAGAGAGAGAGAGAGAGAGAGAGAGAAACATCGATGTGAGAAAGTCACTGGATCAGCTGCTGCCTCTTGCACGCCCCAAACTGAAGATCAAGCCCAAAATCCAGGTATGTGCCCTGACCAGGAATCGAAATGGCCACGGTGGTCTGGGAAAACTTTTTGTAAGCAGGACTTTTTGAACAGGGCTTTGCAGGATGAAGTGGAGTTTTGCAGTCAAGAAAGAGAAGGGAATGAGAGGTTAAGCTGGAGATTTTATTAAAAATTTTAAAAAAGAATAGTTTATTGATTTTTTTTATATAGAGAAAGGGATGAGGGAGGGAAAGAAAGAGGGATAGAAAAAATAGAAAGATTGATGAGAGAGAAAAATCATCAATCTGCTACCTTCTGCATGCCCTCTCTGCCCCTTACCTAGGGAGAGAGCCCACAACCAAGGCATGTGCCCTGACCGGGAATCAAACCGAGACCTCCCGGTTCTTGGGTGGATCCTGAACCACTGAGCAACACCGGCTAGGCTGATTCCTGAGTCTTGAGCCTCACTCAATTCTGCCTGATGGAACGACTAGCCATCACTAGGGACTCAGCTCAAGGGCAGGTAGCTCTGGGGAACCTTCCCTAATTCTTCCTGGGACTCCTTCTCTTTGCCACTTGTGTATACTTCTATCACCACATTTCTCACACTCTTGACTTTTTTTTATTTTTTAATTTTTTTTTTTTAATCCTCACCGGAGGATATGGCGATTGATTTTAGAAATTGGGGAGGGGAGAGAGAAAGACAAACATTGATCTGTTGCCTCCCGCATCCGCCCCAATTGGGAATTGAACCCGAAACCTTTTGGCGCACAAGACAATGCTCAACCAATTAAGCCACCCAGCCAGGGCACCAATACTGTTGACATTTGGTAGACCAGCCTGCTTCCCCATCAGTCAGAGAACTGAGGGCAGGGATGGTCCCATTCGTTTTCTGCATCCCTGATGCCTCGCACATATTAATTAACTGGCCGACTGAATGCTGGTTATTCTAGGTAATTCTGTTCCCTTTTCTGTGACTACTCAATTAGTGAACAAGTTCTGTTAATGACAGTTTCCTGCACATTTCTTTATGCTCTTCCTTTCTCTCCATCTGCACTGCTAGATCTTAGCAGTGAGCTCTTAGAGATTCTAGTGGAAGGGTAGGTAATGACCAGTCCAGGAGGCTGCTACAGTGGTATTCCTAAAGCTCGGAAAATGAGCCAGAGATACTTGGTAAAGAAAGGTGGGAAGGGCACTGCAAGCAGATGAAAAAGCATAATTAAAGGCACAGAGGTGTGAAACAGTTAGGTCTGCATGGAGGAAAAGGAGGGGTTAAGCATGTGTTACTAACGATAAATATGCCTGGCTGAGACCGGTGGAATGAGAGTAGAAAGACAGGGCTAGGCAGGAGCATTTCAAGCTTGAGCGTTAGTGCTGTTTTTTTTTTTTTTCTATATGCAATAAAATAAATGTCTAGCCTGGTTTATGTGGCTCGGTGGTTGAGCATCTACGCATGAACCAGGAGATAGATCATGGTTTGATTCCCAGTCAGGGCACATGCCTGGATTGGAGCTCAATCCGCAGTAGGGGGCATACAGGAGGCAGCTAATCAATGATTCTCATATTGATGTTTTTCTCTCTCTCCTCCCTTCCTCTCTGAAATCAATAACAATAAAACAAAAATAGATAGTCTGTACAGGGAGCAGTGGGGACATGGGTGTGTGAATATTTGTACCTGAAGGGTCAGGTAAAACTTAGGTTTTACTATATTTGTATTGTTTGTAAACTAACCATTTATTTCTCTGCTTGCTAGGTGGCTGGGATAGCACTTTACTTACATGATCTTATCTACCCTTCACAATATCCTGTGAAATAGGTGCTATTACCTTTGCACAGGAGCGGGAACAGAGGCTAAGACAGATTTATACTGTCCCCAAGGTCACAGTGAGAAAGCTACCCCAGATCTGAAGCCTCCTTAAGCCCTAGATGATAGTCCGCTAAGGAGAGCTTCTTGAGGTCAGCGATCCTGTCTTTGTGCCTGCGTGCCCGGACCCAGGTCTTGGAAGACGCCAATTGAGTAAACGAGTGGATGACCTTTTCCTTTCTCCACCCGAAAGGCACGTGGTCACGGCACTGGTGAACCTCCCAGCCGCGAGGGGGCGTGCGTCCATTTCAGCGCAGCCGGGCTCCGTGGCGGGCGCCCCGCTTGCTCCGAGCCTTGGACTGGAGCTCAGCCAATCGCTGCTCTCCGAGAGAGCCGGGGCCCGGGGGGCGGGGTCCCGGGCCTGGCCCCGCGGGCCGCTGGGAGGGGCGGCGGCGGCGGTCCGTGGAGCAGGCGGAGGGCGGGGGCCGGACGCTGCGGCTCCGGTGAGCACGCAGGCCCCGCCGGCAGTTCCCTTCCGCGGGGCGGCGGCCGGGCTGCCCGTGGTCCTGGCGACGGCTCCGGACTTTGACCTCTGAGTCCCCGGAGAGGTGATCGCGAGTGTCCGCGGCGGCCCTGGCCGGGCCTGGCGGCTCTCACTCTAACCCGGGGTTGGAGGCCGAGTCTGGGCGCCCATCGGGCCCTCGGGGCCTGGGCTTCTTGGTCTCGGGCACGTGGCTGAGGACGGAGGCCGTGAGCGTGGTGGGCGAGGGGCTAGGCCCGGGGGAGCCCAGCGGAGGGAGACCTCGGCTGGATACTTGGACCCTGACCTCCCTTGCGCCCCCATCCCTGGACCGGGCTCGAGTCCGGGTTAGGGTTAATCTTCAACCCGTTAGGTATCCTCTGCCCTTGTTAGCAATTCTCCAATCTCGGGCTTGGGGTTGGGATCTCATGGGGCCTCCGGGGCCCCCGGCACAAGGGTAGGTGTGCCCCGGCCACCCCGTTGACCTTTACCTGCCGGTAGGCTCCCTGCACGCCGAGCTGGAAAGCCGCGCCACAGTGTGTGCCAGGCCCTATTGCTATCCCGGAGGGTGACTTGTTAGAGTCTTGTAATCATCAGAGGCACCTGCTGTGCTCCTGCTGCCTTTTGAAGGCAGGCGGGCGGGCGGGTGGGTGGATGACTGCTGTGGTTTTACATGAGTGTATTGCTCCAGCTTTTGTTCACTCATTCAGCAAACTTAACGGAGCATTTTATGCCAGGCCGGGCAAGGGTGGGTGGGAGGTGTTGGGGGACGGACAGGGCCCAGTGAGCCACAGACATTGGCCTTGCCCTGTGGGCGCTTCAAGGGTTGTGAGGCAGACAGGTGGGGTAAGCCAGCACAATGTGTGACCCAGAGGAAATGGTTGTAAATGTTATATAATATACATGTAACATATATGTAAACGTTATATAATGGTTGTAAATGTTAAATAAATGAGTTTATTGACTTATTTGAAAGTGATTAGCATGTGAGTAGGAGGACAGGGAGACCTGGTGCAGCGTGTGACAGGTAATACTTGTGGACTCATACTTGATTTGTTTTTTAAGAAAAATTGGAAATCTGAATGGTGAGTTACTGTTTGGGGAAGGCGTTTGCTTATCAAGAGAGAACTTGTCCCGGCTGGACATGGTAGAGCATCAGCTCGTGCATGGAAAAGTCTCAGGTTCGATTCCCGGTCAAGGGCAGGTACCTGGGTTACAGCTTTGTTCCTAGGCCAGGTTGGGGAACTGGAGAGAAAGACTTCTTTCCCATTCTTGAAAGGTTGGCACACCCGAGGGCAGGCCTATGGTCAACGTAAGGCTTGAAGCCCGGCCGGTGTAGCTCAGTGGTTGAGCATCTATCTACCTGTGAACCAGGAAGTCACCTTTCGATTCCCGGTCTGAGCACACGCCCGGTTGCCGGCTTAATCCCCAGTATGGGGCGTGCAGGAGGCAGCCTGTAAGTGATTCTCTGTCATCATTGATGTTTCTCTCTTTCTCCCTCTCTCCCTTCCTCTCTGAAATCAATAAAAATGTAATTAAAAAAAGATATAAGTAAAGGTGCCCTCTTACAACTGAAATAAGTAAAGGTGCCCTCTTAGGCAGCACATCAGTCTCATAAAAAAGGAAAAAATAGACGAAGTTTTATTAGGTAAGCCCAGAGACCCACTCATGGGGAACTCTGCTGTACATGGTTGCATAATTGTCAAAAAGTATGGGTCATAAAATGGAGAGTCTTGTCCCCTTCTCTAACAATTGAATCTTTTGAAAATTTCTGGGTTGTCTCAGGGACCCAGCAGTTGCATAAAGCAGGGTACTCTTTTTGATTTTATTTTATTATTTAATATATTTTATTGATTTTTTTACAGAGAGGAAGAGAGAGGGATAGAGAGTTAGAAAAATCGATGAGAGAGATTCATCAATCAGCTGCCTCTTGCACACCCCCTACTGGGGATGTGCCCGCAACATGCCCTTGACCAGAATCGAACCTGGGACCTTTCAGTCCGCAGGCCGACGCTCGATCCACTGAGCCAAACCGGTTTCGGCAAGCAGGGTACTCTCTTGCATTACTCCGAGAGGGGCGGGTGCTCAGTGAATTGTGCCAGGTGCCTAGGAAGTGGGGAGCTCCGGAGTGATCCATTTGGTGGGGAGGGGCAGCTGGTGCCTCCCTAACGCTGCCCTGTGCTCTTTTGCAGATGTCATGTGGCCTGTGTTTTGGACCGTGGTGCGTACTTATGCTCCCTATGTCACATTTCCTGTGGCCTTCGTGGTCGGGGCGGTGGGCTACCACCTGGAATGGTTCATCCGGGGAAAAGACCCCCAGCCTGTGGAGGAGGAGAAGAGCATCTCAGAGCGTCGGGAAGACCGAAAGTTGGATGAGCTGCTAGGCAAGGACCATACCCAGGTGCTGAGCCTTAAGGACAAGCTGGAGTTTGCCCCTAAAGCTGTCCTGAACAGAAACCGCCCGGAGAAGAATTAATAGAGGACAACAGGGCCTTAGGCTGTGACTGGTCCTGCCGCCATGTTGACCCAGCTCCAGAATCCACATCTGATTTGCATTGTTGCTAATTCTGGCCCCTCGGGCACCGCCCAGCCACACACATACTGGGGGCTCTCCTGCCATCAGGCGCGCACGGACACACTAGAAGCTGAGGGGCCAGGCAAGAGGAAGACCCTGGAGGGTTCTGGCTGCAGGCCGCATCTGTTGTAGGGTGGCCACAACCGCCCCGGCTTCCGGGCGCACTTCTGGGGGTAGTGCCATGAAATGAACCTCAGCTGTCAGTCCCTTCGGGGAGGCAGTTTGACCTCAAGCTGAAGCGCATGGGATGGGGGTGTTGCCTTAAGAGAGAGATCACATGTTTAGTTCCCGTTTACATGGGAAGAATTCAGACCTCTACCTGGTTCCTTCCCTCGTTTGCCCAGTCCTTTGTGCTCACTCTTGCTGAAATCCTGTCCTACCAGCTCAGGAAAGGGGGGGACTGGCTGGGAAGGGCTGTTCTTGGCAGCCCAGGCTGCCCACGTGGGGTAGGTGAATTTGCTTGGAAATAGCCACCACCTTTCATCCCCCATCACTGTATAGTGCAAAACTTGATTAAATGGCATCTGAGAACCACATTGATCTGATTCTATCTTCCAAATGGTGTGTGGGGTCTCCTTAGGAGCTACGCAAGTGCAAGCATTTCAGGAAAGGATAACATTGGCCTCTACCTAAGGACTCCAGGGTCCTGGAGGCTTTGTTTTGCTAGTGTGGCTGCACTGGGTCCTGGGGGTGGTGAGTCCTGGAGGCCCAGCTTCCCAGAAGCTTTTCTGTCATGGTAATAAGAGGCTTATTGGACCTTTCGGAATCTAAATTAGAATAGACCAGGGTGCTTAAGAGTTGCTATCAAATTTTCCAATTTCACACACACACTTTTTCCTCTAAAAATAATCATGTACTTAAAAGGACATTTGGTAGGGGTTTTTAAAAAGGCCTCTAGTACAACTCCCAGGGCTCTCATACAACTAAAAAGCTAACATTTTGTTACGTTTTTAACAACTTCCCTATTGCTGGAGGACATTTAGGTTGTTTCTGGTTGTTCACCAGTATAAATAGTGCAATGAATATCTTATATAAGGCTTTTCCTGAATTTTGGGAAGAGGCACAATAACCGATTGCCTCATGTGGTCAACCAACGTTTAACCTAATGGTCGGAATAGTAAATGGCATTTTGGGATGAGCAATTTTAAGGGTCTCAACACATAATATAAAAAGACTCTCCTAAAGAGCTGTAGAAGATTATACTAAAAGCTACCACTTAAGATGCCGAGGGGCCCTGGCTGGTGTGGCTCAGAGGATTGGAGCATCATCTCATACACGGAAAAGTCAGTTTCAGTTCCCAGTTAAGGCATATGTCCAGGATTCAGGTTTGATCCACACAAAGGAGGCAGCCGATTGATATCTCTCTCAAGCTGATGTTTTTCCTCTCCCTTTCTAAAATCAATAAAAACACCCTCAGTGTGAGTGTTAAATAAATAAATAAAAAAAAAATATGCCGCTGGCTGAAACCGATTTGGCTCGGTGGATAGAGCGTTGGCCTGTGGATTGAAAGGTCCCAGGTTCGATTCCGGTCAAGGACATGTACGTTGGTTGCAGGCACATTCCCAGTAGGAGGTGTGCAGGAGGCAGCTGATGGATGTTTTTCTCTCATCGATGTTCCTAACTATCCTCTCTTCCTCTCTGTAAAAATCAATAAAATATATAAAAAAGATGCTGGTGAGATTAGAAGGGGTGTGAGCAGAGGGCAGGAAGAGGCGCAATAACCTATTGCCTCATGTGGTCAACTGACGTTTAACCTAAGTGAGCAAAGGCATGTAATGCCCATTTGGTGAAGAACAAACTGCCTTTGATGGCGTGGATAGGTGATGAAGGTAGAATTCCTGAACAGGTAGAAATACCAGCTGTGGAATGAGAGGAACTGGGAGATTGTGGGAGGTGGTGGCCAGAGAGGAGAGAACAAGTCAGGTTGCCCAGGCCTTGAGGGAATGTTGACATGAGCTGCTGTTAACTTCTCAGGGAGCAAATCTGATCGGGAATATGGAGGAGTGTCTGCTACCCAAGTAAGGATGGGATTTCTGGTTACCAAAGGCTATGCCAAGCTCGGCTTGGTTACAGGCCTCATCGACAGACCGGTGCTGCCACCTGGTGGCAGTCCTGAGCATGACCGAGTCTGTGATCCCTTCACTGGGCTTTAACTAGGAGTAACAAACCTGGATGCATACAGGGGTCAGTCAGGTGGCTTAAATAATTGCTCCAGGCCAGGAACTGGAAAGCTCAGGCCTGCCTAAAGGGGGCAGTCGCTACTCAGCATCTTCCAATTTGTGCTGCTTGCCCAGTGATAACAGATTTTTTCAGGTTTTCTAAAAAAAAAAAAAAGGTAGAAATTCAGGTTTTTGTGTGTGTAATCTTCTGATTAACCGATGACCGTTCATTTTCTAAAAAAGTTCATAGCAGGCTAACCCACCCATAGGGTTAATTTATCTCAATGGCTGCCAGTTTTTGACTTCTCAAACTGCCTCTCTCTTTTAATGAATGAGTTGCCCCCCTGTGGCAGATCTGGGCATAGTCAATAATTAGTCATTAATAAATTATTGGAAGTGAATAAATTAATAATTGACAGTTACCAGTTAATTATTTTGGCAGCCTAACAATTTGTAGCAAATATTAGATCCCAGGAGTGGTTTCCCTTGAAATAGTTTTGATCATCCTGCGCATATGTAGTGTAACGTCAGCCTAAGCAAGTCATTAGCTGACAGAAGAGATACAGAAACACCAAAATTTTCCCCCAGAGACAAGATATTTTTGGATTTTCTAGAATAACTCTGCCAGGGCTGGTGCACCTCCTCCCAGTGCCTGGCCAAGGAAGAAGCCCTCCCTGTGGAAATCCAAGCTGCTCCCTTCTTCCAGGCTCACTTTAATTGTGCCCTCTTTTAAATAATTTTACTTCCTAGGGCTTGCCCTCACTGAATCTTGCCTCCGGCAAGTCTATTAATATCTGAGTTAGCTTACTTTCCCACGGGCTGGCTGAGGCCTGCTGCCGCTGTGCGTACTCTCTTGCATGCCATGTGACGGTAGGTTGCAGGGTGGATGTGCGTGCGAGCAAAGGCAGGCAGGCTAGGGGTGCTGGTTTTCTTCCATGCCTGCTGGTTGACTTTGGGGCCATGTGATCCTCTCTTGGAGCGGCCCCATCGTCATGTTCAGGGAAACACTAGTAAGTGGACGTGCTTGGGGCTTTTTGCTTGCCCTGCCTTGGTGTCCCTTCCCAGCCCAGCGATGGTGGTGGCAGCGTTACCCTGTCTGAACAGGTCAGGAATCACTTCTCTCCCCTCGGAGGCCCAGTGTCTGGTGCTTTTCCATTCTCTCTGGAGCCTTTCCTGTGCCTGCTGCTGTGTTAGCACAAGTCTGCTGGCCAGCTGCCAGGACAAACCTGCCCGGGGGCCCTTTGACTCTTGTGAGCCTCCCAGGACCCCAGCTCATGGGGCTGTCGGTTGAGTTAAACACCGTGGGGATTAGGCTCCCCCGAGTCACCTGGGAGCCAGGCAACAGCAATGAAAGGCTCACTTTTCTTTTCTCACTTGGGCATGGGTCTCTAGGCCCTCGTAGGGTGGTGGGCGAAGGCGGTGTAGCAGAGTAAAAATAAAGTGGGATCTGGAGTTGTAACAGACCTGTGTAGTGAATATTGCCTCACCAACAAGCTGATTGACCGTGTGCAAGTCACTCAGCCTTTCTGAACCTCAGTATCCTCTTCTGGAAGATGGGGGTGAGATACCAATTTTTGCCTGCCCCCTGGTGGTCAGTGCTTGTGAGAAGGTAACATATAAAGTTTCTAGCAGAGTCCTCGGCAACCAGTAGGTGCTCAATAAATATTAGCTGCTTAGATTTTTTTTACAAGAAAATCCTACATTTCCTGCAATAGTTGTGTGTGTCCTTGTGACCCTGGGGAGGCAGGGATCCCAAGGCGAGAGTGACGTTGGCTGGGAGAGTGACATTGGCTGGGAGAGTGAGCTCACAGGCCTGGTGGTTGAGGGCTTCCTTGGGGTGTTTTACAGAGAGGACTGCCTTCTGTAACAACCAAGCTAGCCAAGGGCCAGCAAGTTCCAGGCCTGTGTGGCTAAGCAGTCATGCCATTGGTGGCGTCTGCAGGGTCAGAGATGAGTGGGGAGGAAGGTGTGGGATGCCCAGGGATGTCACCTGATGGAGGATGGATAGGGGCGAACCTTGGACTTGGAGGCGAGAGAACTGGGTGATCTCAGACATGTGCTTCATCTCTTCTGGCCTTAGTGTCGCCACTGCAAAATGGGGGCACTCATGTATTCCTGCTGCTGATATAAAAAGCGTGAGAAATCAGAAAGTGCTGAAAACAGGCAAGTGCTATGTTACATCCCAGTAAAACCTGGCTTTTTATCCACTTGGGATGCCAGCCTGTCTGAATAATGAAATAGAAATAAATGCTCTTTTATTCCTATTCTGCACACAGTCTCCCAAAGTATTTGCTAAATAGGAGTTTTGGGAGAGTCAGCTTTAAGAGTAAAGAGGAGTAATTAGTAATTAGTGTGTCAGTCCCAGTGGTGCCTCTGATGTATTTAAAAACTTCATTCTTTTTGAATTAAATTTGATAGCATTAGTTATCTGTTTACCACATTCTTCCAAAAGAGAAAGGTAATACAAAGGTAAACCCTGGCTTTGTTTTTGTTTAAAAATTCCAAATGGGTCCTCCAAATATTTGAGATTTTAAAAGATCTTTGCTGGCATCCCAGCAGGGGCAGCTCTTCTGTCTAGAAGGCCCACAGTCCTTTGTGCCTGCATGCCCCTCTCCACTGCCCCTGTTCCCTCATTGCCAACCCTGGCTCCACTGTCCATTTATATTTGCTTCAGGACCTGAGCTGCCAAGTGCAGCTGGAAATATTTGCATGACCCTATTGCCTGGTTCTCTCCATGTATGG